GATATACTGGGCAGAAGCATTATAGATAAAACTTCACTAACAAGCTCATAATTCAAAATTACAAAATACCCAAGGAAAGAATGCACCATGTCAGTAGAACTAATAAATAGAAGAATTAGTTCTTCCAAGAACTACAAATCATAGAATCATTTAAAGCGAGGTAGCCAGACTCTAGGGTGGCCCACATGAACAGAGTGTCTCCTGGTATTCATGCCCTTTCACAATCCTCTCCCCCAAGTGTGGGCACAATGTGTGGCTTGCTTCTAGCTAACAGATACAGCAATGGTGATGACATGTTTGTGAGTATGAAACCTCATTACATAAGATGTTTATTACCTCATTACCTTATTACATAAGATGGTAATGCCTGTCTTGCTAAGAAACTCTCTCCCTTGCCAGCCCAGACAAGCAAGTTGCTATGTTGTAAGCTGCCATATGGATAGGGCCACATTGCACAGAGCTGTGGGTGGCCTCTAGCTGGCACCTAGCAAAAAACTGAGCTCCTCAGTCTTATAGTTTGCTACTAACTGAATGCTTCTAACAACCATGTGAATACTGAAGTAGAACCTTTCCTAGTTGAATCCCAGAAGAAAACCAGCCCTGGCCAACTACTTTATTACAGCCTTGCAAAGGACCAAGAAAAGCTGTGCCTAGAATCCTGACTCACATAAACTGTGATATAATAAATGTGTATTGTTTTAAGCTGCAAGTTTTTGATAATACTGCTATGCAGGAACAGATAAGTAACATGACTACAAACTATAGTACATGTTTAAAATGATTAAAGACATAAAAGAAGAAATTAACAACACGAGGGAAAAAAGACAAAATGAAAAAGCACGAGGAAGATCTGTAAAATACAAATAGAATGTTTAATAATAAAAAACATAATTTCTGGGTCGGCCCGTGGCTCACTTGGGAGAGTGTGGTGCTGATAACACCAAGGCCGCGGGTTCGGATCCCATATAGGGATGGCTGGTTGGCTCACTGGGTGAGCGTGGTGCTGACAACACCAAGTCAAGGGTTAAGATCCCCTTACCGGTCATCTTTAAAAAAAGAAAAAAAAAAAAAAATTTCTAAAATGACTTAACCCAGTGAGTGGGTTACATAGCAGAATGAAATCTGCTGAAGAGATAATGTGTTAACTGAAAAACAGATCAAAGGAAATTGATCTGTTTCAATTTACAACATACAACACAGATATTAAAAGATGGAAGAACTCAAAAGAGAGGTCGAGAGATAAAGGATATACTGAAAAGCACAAACGTTTATCAGACAGAGAATTCAGAGTAATATAATACTAAAAAATGGAGAAGTAGAAAGATTGAAAGTAACAGCTGAGAATTTTCCAGAACAGATGAAAGGCATGATTCCACAGATTTCAGAAACATCTTAAACCAAAGTAAGGTAATTGTAGTAACCAAAGTCAAACAGAAGATCATAAAAGCAAACAGTGAGGAAATGCATCCTCCTACAAAGAAGCAACAGCAAACTCTTCAATAATAGCAATATAAGCCAGATGACGGTAGAGTAATATCTTCAAAGTGCTGAGAGAAAACTGTCAACCTAGAGTTCTGTATTCAACTAAATCATCAATGAGAGAATAAAACATTTTCAGACAAATAAAACCTTAGATATTTTTACCACTAGTATATCCTAATGAAAACTATTAAAGGATGTTCTTCAGAAATTAAACTCAAAGGAAGGAGTGAGATATGAAAAGCAATGATAAGAAATTTTGAATAAACTGACACAAGCACTGGCTGTATAAAAAAAAATCATGATGACTACTTGTAAGGTATAAAACAAAATTAACAAAAATACTGTACAGAAATTATATGTAAAACAGGCAAGGTATGGTAGAATTAAAGTGTTCTAACTATCCTTAAATCATTCAAAAGGAGGATAAAGATAATGATTAATTTTAGACTTGTTTCAGTACACATGTTAAAATTCTAAGGGTAAAAATAGAAATAATATATGTTAATAAACCAGTACAGGGAAATAAAACATAAAACATTATCAGTATTCACATTTTACAGAACATGAAACCTAGCTGACTTGACAAAATTCACCCACCCAGCTAGTAACAAGAAGATATGACTTAAATTCATGTATTTCAAGTTCTGTGATTTTTTTCCCCTTCTATGTCATATAGCCTCTGATCTAGGTGATACATTAAAAAAACAGCATTATTCTGATGTCCATTTCAATAGGCAAAAATCTCACACTGATGCAAGAATATCTCTACAGCTTTGTGATAAAGCTGCAGATTTACGTAGTAATCTTATTCTTCATTTCCATTTCATTCTTACCCTCTTCACTCATTAATTCCTATATTTTCCATATAATTCTCCTGGACTCTAATTTTTACTGTTTTTTCTCTCTTCCTCCTTCCTATTTTTCTGTTTTTCCTTTTTGTGCATGTCTGTGTGTGTATATACATACTTGTAAACATGTATAATATGTATGTATCATACAGGTTTATTAACTTTTTAAAAAAAATCTCAGGATGCATGCTATGAAGAATAGTAGATTCTAAATGCATAGTTTTCAATGGGACACAATTTGAATGATTTCACAGGATAGAAGGAATTACAGAAGAGTTGTCTATTTCATTATATTGTAGGGCTCTATTGCTGAAGCAAGTATGCAATGTCAAAACAGCTGTAGAACTACCTGTGGTAGCAATCTAGTCTCCAAATCTTAACAGTGGTATATGGTCCCCTGGCAAGCTGTTCCTAGGATCAAAGATTTTATTTCTACACTATGGACGTGATTCCCTTTCTCCTTGCCAAAAACCATTTCAATTGGTTTCTAACATGTACTATTCTACTTTGACCCATGCAGTGTGCCCAAGATGGTAGTTAAAACTATTCCACTCTTTAGTCATGCTAAATCACTGTTTCTGACATTCCCCCCACACCCCCCACCCACAATCTAGTCTGCCTACTGATAAGATATTTCTACAATATTTCATGGAGCAATAAAACTTCAGCGTATACGTATAGAAAATCATGTAAGTCCTTGGAATCAACTCTTGGTCTCCTAGCATACAACTTGGCAGATGTAAACGACATAAAATCAGTATAAAATCAAGTTCATACAACTTTAGCATAGTGCTGTCTGATGATATTCTGCTATTGGCATTATCAATTCAAAGATCTATATTGTGAATATACTCTTAAAGAAAGCAAGATCTATATTGTGAATATACCCTTGAAGAATATTTCTAATATAAAGAAATGAATGGTATTTCATACTGTGAAATCTATAGGATTATGGTATTACAGGCAATTCTTGTATCTGAAGGCACAGAAACCTTAAATAATTAAAACCTAAACCAATTTAGGCAATTGTTCCTCTAACCAAAAAATAAAAAAAAGTAAACTAACTACAGACGCGAAAAACAAATAAGTCAAAAAAAATCACATGAATTTTCTCCTTTTATTTCTCCCTATTCATTCCTAAATGCAAATGTTTCCATTACTTCCTCTACTCTACCCTGCTTTGTCTCCCCAAAAGAGAACCTAGGGAAGGATGAAAAGCTTATAGGCCTTGATAATCCCAAAACAGAATAATCCACCCCCGAATAACCAAAACTGTCTGTGTCCTGTTTTACAACCATTACAGTTAGTTAAATAATACCATTACTAAGAATGAATAAGTCTACGAAACTCAAATAGGATTTCCTCTTTCACAAGTGCATGGAAATATGGTGATTACTAACAATGACAACAACAAAAACCCCCACATAATTGAGCAGCTGAAGATTTTTGGAGGAATACTCTTTGTAGTAGTGAAAACATAATAAAAATAATGGATGGTACTTTAGCAGACAGGGGCAATAGGTTAGGGTGAGCAGGATAAAGAGAGAATCGCAGGTAAAAGATTAACAAGGAGAACAGTCAACTGTGTGGTCTCAGAAAATGGTACTGTTAAATTAGAGATGTAATTTCATGACTTCATAAAGACAGATCTGGGCTATGTAGGGGGTGAAGCCCTTATTCTCACGGTAAAAAGGACAAAACTCTATCAGCTGATTTATAAAGCACAGTTCTGAATGCCAAAGTCAGGGTGGTGGAAGTAACAACAAATGTCCAGCAGTATGCTCTGATGTCCTGAATCAGATTATAAAATAATAAATGAGCTAGTTTCCTTAGCAGTGTTTAGAGGAAGGTCTTCTGGAATGGGGTTATTCCAGATTATAAGAATCACTTAAGCAGTCAAATGATATAAAAGTGATTAGCAGCTTTCTAGGCTTAAAGATCTCTTTTCATAAAAGATCAGAAGAACCTAAGAATAAAAAACTGAAAAGATAAGTCAGCTTGAGTCATAATTCTGTTCCCTTTCCTTCCTCCCCCAAAAAGAGGCCACTTCTCTGTCTTCCTTTGCAGAGACTCCTGTTATCCCTCTGCTATTTTTTTCCTTCCTCCTCTATTTCGCTTCAGGGTGGTCTTGAAACATTCTTTCCTCCACCTTCTTCCATCTGTCTTTTGTGATGTGTAGCACAGAAGCCCAGGCAACGACACAGGGCCTGCACCACACAGAGTCAGTCAACATCCTCCTGCCCTTTAGACAGGTCAACAGCCTAGTATATCCAACAGCTGATGTCTGCAAGAAGCTCAGAGAACAACACTGGTTAATACCTCTACTCTCAAACACTTCAATGATTGATTACAAGCCCACTCTCTGGGTTCTCTTTTAAATCACTCACAACTGAACCAAAAAGGTATAAATTAGGAAAAAAGATGAGATGTTCTTTATTGGAAGTACAAGTAGTTGACAACAAAGAGAAAATAAAGCAAACCAAATAAAATATATAAAACTGAAAACTCACAAATCAGATTATAAAACAATATTCTGCTGACATTTAAATAGAATAATCCCATTGCTTTTTGGCTTGCAATCCCAGATTTCTCTTGTTTGGTGCTGGAGATAATTTTCATTTCTCTATGTACTTAGAGCTTCGCATTCAACCAACATTATTTACTACTTACTTGTGCTTGCTTGCATACTTTAAAAGGCTGAAGTGTTTCTTGGTAGAAAAGCTGATGATAAGCCTGTAGGTCAAACCAAAAGTACACACTGTTTTTCCACAACTGCAGATGGAAAAAGAATGTGAATTATTACCATCCAATTATTAAAGCTTCACAAAGCTCTAATTTCAAATATAAATAATTATTTAGCTTCTTGTTACCATAAATCTGGTTCCATTTAAAATGGTTTTAATATTCTATCAGAAACTGACAATATACAAAATCTTCAGTGGTACTGTTGCTAGAATATTTTTGCCTGTATACCTATCACATAATTGGTCATTAAAACAATAAGCATTCTACATAATGGTTAAAAAGTAACCACATATTTCGGTCATGAAACCAAAATCTGAAGGTATTTATATATATGTATATGGGTAAATGTATATCATAGCAGAACCAAACATTACTCCAATAATTAAGCCAGTTAAATACTTTTCATTTGACCAAATGAAGATTGTGATTAAAAAAAAACAATAATAACCTGGAAATAATTTTGCCACTATTCATTGTAATTTGTAATTATTAGAATTATTAACAATTAAAGAACTGACAGAAATCCACTCTGAATTTAAAATATATTACATTGAAATAAAATTATGTGAAAATAAACTATTGTTAGTACTGCAAGTCAACTCTTTACCTGTATTTTATTTTTCTTTGTAATTTTAGTAGGATAGTGAACCTTAGAAAATTATAACTGAAATGTTTAAATTTTCACTATTAAGTATAAATTTTTTCTTACTGGAAATGAGGATTTTTAACATCAAATATAATTACCTGAGTACTGGATTATTTCAACACCTCTTATTTTTAAATGAAATAAAATTATAAAATTAGATCTTAAATAATTCTTTTCTACCTCGTTCCCAGAATGTTCGCAGAATTTAGTAAAGAAGAATCCAGTCCTATTTTCTACATACAAACACTGCAACAAATTTTCCATGTCAAATCCTCCCAAGGCACCAACATCTAACATGGTTTTAACCTAGATAACAAAACAGAAGTCCATTATCCACCCAAAAAATACTGTAATTTTTTTGACACTGCACAACAGTGTTTCACAAATTCTGCTGGGCTGTCATTTTCCCACAGGACTATTTTATTTTTGTACTATATATGTAATTAATGCAGTATGTTTGCAACTGACTGTCATATGATTCATTTATGGAGCCCAACTATAGCTGCAGAATTCATTCTATTATAAACCAAACCAATTTCAAACTGAATGTTGAAGCAACTTTCCAACTCAGCTGTTTTCATGTTTCAGGCACAGTGATACCATTTTAGGAGTCTTCCAAATCTCTGTTGGTGGCCTCTTGCCTACACATTTATTATTATTTTAGCCTTGAGATACTGCTGTTATAGCTACAAGAGGGTTATAAAAAGAACTATCTTCCAAGGCTTCTCAGTGCTGCTCATTAACTGTCCTTAGGGGGTCCCTCTTCGGACAGTCTCACTCTGTACAGTTCATGGCCTACAGAGTGTAAATGGCAGTATAAGTTCTCATAAAACTCTGCTGTTCATGGGCTTCTCTGCCAACAATGCTGGCAGCCCTAATGCCATTTGTGAATCACAGAAAGTCAGCTATTTCTCCAAGCACAAGAGTGAGTCCAAAATATGAAAAGGCATCCACTACTCACATGAACTGTTTGCTATTAGTTTTGTGAAACTCAGACTTCTTTGTAATCTTAAAACAAGTGAGGCATGAAAAATTTAGGTTCTAAGTGAGGTTCTTGCTCTTTCTTTGTCATACTGTCCCTCTACCTCTCTATCTGCCTACTAAACAAATTCTAAGGCGAGAATGTAATGTTTTTATAAATGTTTAACTATCAGCATTCCAAACTAAAAAATCATTATTATAGTAGGGGAAGAAACCCTAATTAGAAGAAAAGGAGAACTATTTGCTTAGAATAAAATAAATAGTTATACAAAATTATAGCTAAGTGTTCAGATTATATCAGAACCACCAAGGTTTCTACCTTAAGTATAATTCTTAGGGAATGTGAAATTTTCATATAGAACTGGTGCATTAAATATACATTATCAGGGTAGCTGCACTCTGGAAATACCCTGCCTTTTTAAAATTCTAGACTACCAAAATATAATATGAAATATTATTTTTTATCAAGTGTTAAAAATATAATAAAAATACTAGAGGGTTTTATTTTGCGTCTGAGGTGTCATCCCAAACCAGAACACAGTTGTTTTTGAAAACGGTAATTAATGAAGTATATTGCAGCACAGTATTACAAAAGGAAACACAAGGGAAATTTTTTTGCAAAAATCCTTTTTCAAAGAAAAAATAAACTGTGTTGCTTAGTAAAGAATAAAACATTATGGTAAATCAATAAAAATTCTCGTAAATCAGGGGACACTGATCAGTTAAATGAGGAATCAGGTTCTTCAGTCCTCAAAATACTTACCTTAGATTCTTCTGTATACATGTATTTTCTATCCAGCTGGGGCTTCAGACATTCAGAAATATCAGTAAAAGATGTTAAACGAATAACTTTGCTGCTTTCTGACATCCGCTTCGACCTAAATTATAAGGATGAGCACTAACTGGTCAACAATATTGAGCACCTCTGGTACACATGGCACCAAAATTTCGGAGAACTTCTGAGCAATGTGAGAGAATTAGAAAAAAAAAGTATAAAGCATCAGTTCCAGCCCTAAAAAGATGGGTGAAAAGATGAGGCATAGTTAGATAGAGAGAAAATAAGGCATAGTTAGATGGAAAGACAACTCTCAAAATAACTGCTGGCTGAATGAATTAAAGAGAGCATATTGTGGGTCCCAAATGACTGAGATGGATAATAAATACCATAGGAGTGTAAAAATAAGTCCCTTTGAGCTATATTTGTAATTAAAGAAATGGGTTTTTTCCTGAAAAAATGAGTAGGAAATATAGTCTATGTATATTTCTAGGTGTGTGTCTGTGTGTTTGGAGGGATTCTTTACATAGGAAGAATAGTGAGCAAAGAATGAAGGTAGGTAGGGAAATCCTTGCTTAAAAGGCAGCAAAGTTAATCAATTTGCTTAGGGCAAGACACTAACAGTTAAGTGAACACTATATACTACATACTAAACACTGTGCTAGACATAATTCATATTATAATACTTCATCCTCACAACAGGTGGGATTCCAAGGGAATTATATAGGGTAGTTTGGGATGAGAAAACGGAAGACTTTGGAGCTAGACTCTGGACATTATCATTTTATATTTTCCTGTCCAGCTCCCTCTCCCACACCCACTGCAATTATATTAAATTTCTGGCTCAATAAAACATGCCTGGTTCCACCTCACTAATCTAACTCCACTCCAATCCACCAACAAATTACTTTGCAGGTTCTTCTCAGACAAAATGTAGGTAACAACATGCTTCATTCCCACTCCCCTGTGTAGCAGACATGGTAAACTGGTTGGCTAGCTGAACACCCATTCCCAGTGACATGCATCTATACCCAGCACCACAGGGTACTGTGATTCTGAAAAAGCTAAATATTCACTTTCTAAGACTCCCTTGCAGAGAGGGGCAGCCATGTGATATAGTTGTGGTTAATGAGATATAAAATGAAATCTGCTAGGGAGTTTGCTTCTAAGAAAGCTTGCTTTCTTCATGAAAGGGAGAGGATTAATAAAAACTGCCCTTCCCCTTTCTTTCTGATCTCAAAGCCTGAGAGCAGAAGCTGTAAATCCACTTACCATGAGGGAATGGACAAGACCATAACAAAGATTCAGGCCCAACTACTTCTGATCCATTGAACTACCACCAGCAGTTGCCCACCCTCCAATTTCTTATGTGAGAAAAATAAGCCCAATTCATCTAAGCCATTATTAGTCAGGTTTTTTGTTATTTGCAGCTGAAAGTATTCTTAAATGATCAACAAACATAACCACCTACATCTATCCTTATTTTTTTCCATCTAGTCTCAGGAAGAGGCGCCCCACCTCCTGTCCATAGTCAGTCTCATTCCCTTGGTTCTTTAACCCTTCTTTCTATTCTCCTTTGAAAATGGAGATCTTTATTTCTCATGTATCTTCAACTTCTCCATTTCCACTATATTCTACTCTAGCATATCAACAGACTCAAGTCTCCTCCACCTTAAAATTACCCTTTCGATGAAAACAAAAACACAATATACCAAAACGTACGAGATGCACATAACACATTCCTTAGAGGAACATTTTATAGCTATAAAGGCTTATATCAGAAAAGAAAAAGATCTCATATCAATAACCTTCCACCTTAAGACATAGAAAAAGAACACACTAAACCCAAAGCAACTTGAAAGAAGAAAATAATAAAGATCAGAGTAGAAATAAATAAAACAGAAAATGAAAACGAATAAAACCAATAGTTGCTTCTTAGAAAGATCAATAAAATTGACCAATCTTTAGCTAAGCCAATCTTTAGAAGCCAAAAGGCTTCACTGGTGAATTCTACCAAATACTTAAAAGGAACTAATATCAGGGTTCTTCCCAAATTCTTCCAAAACTAAAAGAGGAACACTTCACAACTCAACAAGTCAGTATTAGTCTGACACTAAAGCCAAAAATATCACAAGAAAACTATAGCACATATCCCTTATAAATATAGAAACAAATATCCTCAACAAAATTACCAGTAAACTGAATGATATACGATGAACAAGTGGGGCTTATCTCAGGAATGTAAAGTTGGTTTAATATTCAAAAATTAAGGGCCGGCCCGGTGGCGCACTGGAGAGTGCGCCGCTTGAGAGTGCGGCGGCGCTCCCGCCGAGGGTTCGGATCCCATGTGGAGACTGGTTCCCACTCACTGGCTGAGCGCGGTGCGGGCGCAACACTGAGGGTTGTGATCCCGTTGCCGGTCCCCGGTACAGGCGCGACACCAAGGGTTGCGATCCCGTTACCAGTCAGTAAAAAAGACAAAAAGGAAAAAAAAATTAATACAATATGCCATATCAACAGGAGAGAAAACAAAAACCGCACGATCATCTCAACAGATGCAGGTAAAAGCATTTGATAAAATTCAACACACATTAATGATTTAAAAACAAAACAAAACAAAACCTTCCACAAAGAACTTCAACATGATAGAGAATCTATAAAAAACATACAGCTAGGGGCCGGCCTGGTGGCGCACTGCTACAGTGCGCCGCTTGGGAGCATGGCGGCGCTCCCGCCGAGGGTTCGGATCCCACATACAGACCAGCCGCTCACTGGCTGAGCGAGGTGCGTGCCCAACACCGAGGGTTGCGATCCCGTTGCCGGTCCCGGTCCGGTACAGGCGCGACACTGAGGGTTGTGATCCGTTGCCGGTCATGATAAAAGACAAAAAGGAAAAAAAAAAAACAAACATACAGCTAACATCATGCTTAATAGTGAAAGACCGAATGCTTTCCTCCTAAAATTGGGAACAAGATAAGGATGTGTGCTCTCATCACTTCTATTCAGCATTGTACTGGAGGTCCTAGCCAAGGCAATTAGGCAAGAAAAAGAAATAAAAGATAACCTGATTGAAAAGAAAGAATTAAAACTGTCTTTATTCTCCGATGATATGATCTCACACATAGAAAATTCTAAGGAATCCATTAAAAAAACTACTAGAAATAATAAATCATTTCTGTAAGGTCACAGGGTACAAGGTAAATATATAAAAATCAATTGTATTTCTATATACTAGCAATGAACGGTCCAAAAATTAAATTAAAAGAACATTTTTTATGCATAATAGCTTCAAAAAGAACGAAACACTTATGAAAAACTTTAATAAAAATACTCTCCTCTAAATCTAATGGCTTTTAACTATTATTCTGACTCACTCCAAATCTTTCTATCTAATTTTTTAAAAAGAGCAGTCTATGAAATACCTACCACCCAGCAATAAAAGAAATAAACTATGGATACATGCAACAACTTGGATAGATCTCAAGGGATTATGTTGAGTAGAAAAAAGCCATTCTCAAAAGGTTGCATAGTTCGTGATTCCATTTATATTACATTCTTGAAAAGACAAAATTATAGAGATGGAGAATGGACTAGTGATCACCAGTGGCTGGAGGAAGAGAAAGGGAGGGAAGTGGCTGTGGCCATAAAATGGTAGCACAAGAGCTTCTTGTAGTGAAACTGGTATCTCAACTGTGGTGACAGTCACATGAAAGTGCAGCTGTGATAAAACTGTGTAAAACTAAACATACACCTATACACAAACACACATACATACATGCACATAAAACTGGTGAAATCTGATGAGGTAGATGAATTGAGTAACTGTCAATTTCCTGGTTCTGATATTGTACTATAGTTACACAAGTTACCATTGGGGGAGATTGAATGAAGGTATATGAGATCTCTCTATATCATTTCTTACAACCACAAGTAAATCTACAATGATCTCAAAATAAAAATTTAAAAGCAGAGTGGTCCATACTAACTGTGTCCTCTTTTCCTTCAATACATTCTTTCAGCTACTGTGATCATGCTTCTGACTTTTAAAATTTATATTTGTAACCTTACCAATAACTTGGTCATTGACAAATACCGTGAACACTTACTGCTATTATCTTGACTACTTTGCAACATTTAACATCCACTTGAAATTCTTCCTTCCCTTGCCTTCCATGACACAACCCTGTCCTATATGTATATCTCCCATCTCTCAGATTACTCCTTGGCCTTCTCTTCTGGTTCCTCATTCTCTGCCTTTATTGTAAAGCTTGATAACTTAGTCCTTCTCATTCTATACTACTCTTTCTCTCCGTCTCTCTCAGGATCATTTCATCCATGCCCACAGCTTGCTTCAACTACCCCCTAAAGTATAATGCTTCCCAATTTTTTTAATTTATAATTGATCTCTTTTATGGGCTCCAGACGTATATTTAAACTGTTTTGGACATGTATATCCCTAACGTAGCTCTTTACAATGTATTGAGATATAATTCATATTTTCAACACACAAAATTTGTGTTGGAAGGATATGAAGAAATTGGAACCCAACGTAGGTTTACCTCAACCCTCAGAAGTTCCTTAGGCCCTATATTAATTCATTCAACAAATATTAATTGAACACACACAGTTTGCCAGATACTGTACTAGACACTGGAGCATTCACCTAGACAGTGCCCAAACTGAACTCGTCATCTGCCTGCTCCAATCCTGTTTTTCCTCCTTCTGAGGACAGCAAGTTCATAGAAAATAATGTGAAGAAGGTTTTTTAAACGTATAAAAAAATGTTCAACTTCAATCAAAATAAGTACCACTTTTAATCTGGGTAACCGACCGGGACCGGCAACGGGATCGCAACCCTCGGTGTTGCACCCGCACCGCGCTCAGCCAGTGAGCGGGAACCGGTCTGTACGTGGGATCCAAACCCTCGGCGGGAGCGCCGCTGTGCTCTCAAGCGGCGCACTGTAGCAGTGCGCCACCGGGCCGGCCCAAAAAATAAAAATTTTTTTTAAAAAAAAACAAAAAACAGGGTATAAAATAAGTGTATAGTATGCCATTATTTTTGCACTATGTATGTATTTCCAATTTATAAAAAATTAAATAATTTAACACTAATAAATGACACAAAAACTCTCCAGTTGCTCTTCAATGCTTAGAGCATAATCTGTACATTCCTTAATGTGACAAATAAGAAATTTCACATTCTGAACCTCATTTATCTTTTTAGCTTATCTCCTGATTTTTCACTATAATACCCTACACTCTAGCCATAACAATGTATAGTTTTCAAAATTCAACTTTTCTCTCAATTCATGCCTGTATGTCTTTTCACTTATTTCACCACCTGAAAAAAATAGGATTATGCCTTCTTCACGGGTATGCAGTAAGAATTAATTGCTATGACACAAGCAAAGCTCATTAACTGCTGCTTTTGGAAATAGAAGACAAGGTGATTTGGTCCAACTGTCACACTGAAGACAACTAAGTAAGCTGAAGAAAACACAAAAATAAATCTTATTGAAGGCATGTGAGTGCTAACAAGGTAGTCAAAAATTATTGAGCCAAATGCCAGAGGATAAAAATTCAGAGGTGATTTTGGCATTTGAGGCTGTTTTTCCTGAGGGCTTGCTAATAATGAGAAGCATCTAGTACACTTAGTAGCATGTTTAACTGAGTCAAGGACACCGCTAATCACTTCAACACCAAGGACTATGCCCTAGCAGAAAGAGAATATCAGAAGTAAACCAATCCTTGCACATACTGTAGCATAACTTTGAGTCATTTCATTGGCTCAGAAAAAAATCCCTTGAATTGGGTTAAAATAATCCTAAGTTACTAGTACTTGAGTTGTCTGGCCAAAGCAAAGAAAAAAAAAGAATCTCTTCTGGAAAAATATAAGGTGAAACCTAAGCCTCAAATAAATTGTACAAACACTTTTTCAAACAAAAGGTATAACATGAAATGAACAAAAAAGACAGAAGAGCAGACAACAAGAACAAAAAAGAGCTAAAAATAGGCCAATGGAAAGAGTCACAGGAGCTCCAGATATTAAAAATATCAGACACAGACTTTAAACAGCTATGATCAAGGAGATAAAACAGAAGACAGAATTGCACCAGAGAACTGGAAACTATAAAACATGACAATAACATACCTATAAAAGAACCAGAGAAATTATACAAATAAAAAATACAATAACTGAAATTGGGAACTAAACAGATCTGATTAACAGCAGATTAGATACAGTTAAAAAGAGAAACAGTGAATTGGAAGATAAAGAAAATACTAAAGCACAATGAGACAAAAGGTTGGAATAAGAAGAAAAGGTATTAGAAGATAAATTGAGGAATCTAACTTACATTTAATCAGAATCCCAGAATGAGAGGAGAGGAAGAGTGGGTTAGAAGAAATATCAGAAGAGATAACAGTGGAGAATTTTCTAAAACTGGTGAAAGACATGAAAGCCACAGATCTAATAATCCTGAGTTGGCTATGTAAAAGGAAATCCACACCTAACTACATCAAAATAAAATGCAAAGAAAAAAAAAAAGTAATTCTAAAGCAGCTGGAGAAAAAGACATATTATCTTCAAACAAATAGCCTGACAGCCAATATCTCAACAGAAACACTGAAACATTGAAATCTAGAAGACAATACAATATTTTCAAAGCGCTGAAAGAAAATAACTACCAATCTATAACTCTATATCCAGAAGAAAATACTTAAGAATGAAAGTGAACACAACATGATGAACCTTGAAAATATTATGCTAAATAAAAGAAGTCAGACACAGAAGGAGGCCATCTATTGTAAAAAATGTATTCTAATTGTATGAAATGTCCAGACTAGATAAATCTACAGATATAGAAAAGAGCGTCTCATGGGGGTTGGGGAAAGAGGAATGCAAAGTGATTGCTAATGAGTATAGGACTTTTTTTGGGCATGATAAAATGTTCTAGAATTATATAGTTGTGATGGTTGCACAGCTTTGGGAATAAATAGCACTAATTGTATACCTGAATATAATTAAAATGGTGAATTTTATATTATGTGAATTTTATCTCAATAAAAAAAGAATAAAAGTGAAGTAATAAATTATTAAACAAAGAATTATTCCAAGTTAATACCAAAGGGTATTCTTCAAGCCAAAAGAAAGTAATCCTATTGTAAATAAAGAACAATGAAAAGAGTAAATATATGGGCAAATCTAAATTAATAAAATGATATACTATATTAAACAATAAAATATTCTTGAGAGTATTCTGAGTTCTCAAATTTGAGAAACATTGAATTATTGAATATAGCCAAACAAGAATTAGAAGGCAATCTTCTCAGAGAACTCTTGATTGGCTCACAAGAGACTAGAAACCGAAGCAACATCTCTTTAAAATTATTAATATCTGAAATTCCACTCCTAATTTAGAGTATGCATAAGGCGTATAAGTCTCTAATACATATCAGTGAAATATAAGAATCCCCACACACAAAAAACAGTGTACTAGTTTTTTGATATCTATTTAATTTTTAAATTCTTCAAAAATCTTACTACTGCAGAAAAGCCCTTGACAACAAAAAGTTGCACTTACCCCTTCTCAATAACATCATTCTCAGAAGAAACTGGATACAAAGTCTCACTCTTCCAAGATTTGTGCACTGCTGTTTTTACTCTACGTGATTTCTTGGGAGATTTAGGAGGTTGTAATAAACTGAATTCCTCTTTCTAAAAAGTGGTAAGATAACAAACAAAATGAAAAATGAGCAAAATGATAAAAAAAAAGAGAGAGAATAAAACATAGCTCTACACATACACCTCAAATTTGTTTTGATCACTGTAAGATTTTTTTCCCTCACTCTACCTTCTACCATACTTCCCACTAGAATAGAAATTTTCTCCTTTCCAACTCCCACTTTTATGCATCCAGCAGAGTGAAATCCAACAGCAAACCAAGATGCCTTGGTCCATAAGAAGAAATCTATAGGGGCTGGCCCGTGGCTCACTCGGGAGAGTGTGGTGCTGATAACACCAAGGCCCCGGGTTTGGATCCCACATAGGGATGGCCGGTTAGCTCACTGGCTGAGCGTGGTGCTGACAACACCAAGTCAAGGGTTAAGATCCCCTTACGGTCATCTTTTAAGAAAAAAAAAAAAAGAAGAAGAAGAAGAAATCTATACCTTAACACCATTATTTCTTTCCATTTTTGGACATTTTATTTTCATGTTTACTTTCCCCATTCTAAAAAATGCGTTATGATAAAAGTTCATTTAAATCCAGAATATGAGATGCTACATGCATGATTCAAAAAAGTATGAACAACTTAATGTCCAAATGGAGGAGAAACAAACAATTATCTAAGTATGGAATGTACATAATGTAACATTATTTAATATGAGGGGACTTCGAAATCTTTGTGGACAGGCTGGAGCAACTAATATGCAAAGAAATACAGGATAATGAGGACACCTTAATCTATGAATGGCATGCTAAGACTGGAAGCCCAGAATGATGGTAACTGAGAATAGTGCTAATGCCTTTAGTTTTCACCTAGATGAGAGAGCCTGACCCAAAGGGGAGAATTGTTAAATAAAAATTATAGGAGGCCATTGTTTTGGACTAAGTTCCTTTACTAGGTCCCAAAAGACCAGACTGAAAATCAAAATGAAGTCACCCCTCCTAAGTTCCATGTCACATAAGCTGTGGTCTGACCTTCAAAGAAGCCAAGAGAAAGATAACATCCAAATTTCTTGAACATGCCACTTTAAATCTTCAATAGGTATGATAATGAAGTTCTCTCTGCTTTAATCCTCACACAAAAGAGCCTGAAGTAACCTGATGTTTCCTATTGTTCTGTCTTCTTGTCCCCAACTTACTGGAAAGACCAATCTGCATTGTGTTCTTTGTTTCTGCTTTGTTTATCCTTTCTCTGTGTATAAAACCAACTTCCTCTGCCCGGCTCATGGGAACACTTATTCTATTTTTTGGAATAACATGTTGCCTGATTCTAGAATCACACTAAAGCCAACTGAGATCTTCAACTAAAAAACCAAAAAACCAAAAACAAAGTGTGTGTGGAAAAATGGAATTAAAAGATAAAAATAGGGTTGGCTAGTTTACTCAGTTGGTTAGAGCATGGTGTTATAACACCAGGGTCAAGGGTTCCGATCCATGTATTAGCAAGCCACCAAAAAAACAAAACAAACAAACAAAAAAACAGAAAATGTAAAAGATAAAAAATATAAACATTATTTCCCAACATAAGCTCCATCAAGTTCAAGATACTTTTGTAAGCAATGATACCAGCCATTTAATCCATCCCTAAAGAACTGAGCATCCTGAGAATTTAACATGTCAATACAGTCTTTTTTACATTATTAACTAAGGACAAATCTTGAAGATTTTTTAAGATTAAGAAACAAAAATTAGTCAGAAGGAGCCAAATCAAGACTGTAAGGTGGATGCCTAATGATTTCCCATTGAAAATATCACAAAATTGCCTGTGTTTGATGAGAGTAATGAGCAGGAGCGTTGTCATGGTGGAGAAGGACTCTCTAGTGAAGCTTTCCTGGACATTTTTCTGCTAAAGCTTTGACTAAGCTTCTCAAAATACTCTCATAGCAAGCAGATGTTATTGTTCTTTGGCCCTCTGTGAAATCAACAAGCAAAATGCCTTGAGCATCTAAAAAAACTACTGCCATGTCCTTTGCTCTTCAGCAATCTAGTTTTGCTTTTACTGGATCACTTCCATCTCCTGGTAGCTATGGCTTTGACTGTGTTTTGTCTTCAGAATCATACTAGTAAAGCCATGTTTCATTTCCTATTACAGTTCTTTGAAGAAATGTTTCAGGACCTTGATCCACTTGTTTAAAATATCCATTGAAGGGCCGGCCCGGTGGCGCACTGGAGAGTGCGGCGCTTGGGAGTGTGGTGGCGCTTCTGCCGAGGGTTCGGATCCCATGTGGAGACCGGTTCCCGCTCACTGGCTGAGCACAGTGCGGGCGCAACACGGAGGGTTGCGATCCTGTTGCCGGTCCCCGGTACGCGCGCGACACCGAGGGTTGCGATCCTGTTACCGGTCAGTAAAAAAGACAAAAAGGAAAAAAAAAATATCCATTGAAAGCTCTGCTCTTGTCTGCAGCTGATCCGGGTGCAACAGTTTTGGCTCCTATCGAGTGAAAAGTTTGGTCAACTGTAATTTCTCAATCAGAATTGTGTAAGTTAGACCAATTGAGATGTCTGTGGTGGTGGCTATTGTTTCTGCTAGTAATCATTGGTCCTCTTCAACTGGATATAAACAAGATGAATTTTTCCCTGGCAAATTGATGTGGTCATCTGCCCCTATAGGTTTCATCTTCAACATCGTCTTCTCCCTTCTTAAAATGAGTTATCTTCTTGTAAACTGCTGATTAATTTGAGGCATTGTCCCCATAAGCTTTTCATAAAGCATCAATGATTTCACCATTCTTCCTCCCAAGCTTAACCATAAATTTGATGTTTGTTCTTGTTTCAATTTTAGTAGAATTCATGTTGCTCTGTGTGGGACTATGAGCATAACTGACTCCATCTTGACCCCTTACCATGTGTTATGTCTTTGTGAGAGCCTTGCCCATAAAGGTATACAGTAACTAGGGGTGAGGTAGTTATAATAATAGATAGGAACAATCTGCTAACTGTAAAGAAGGAATGGTTAAGTACTGGTGTGGTGAGGAGCTGGCCTGGATGCTTGCATCAACCATCTGGAGCTAGTTATGTTAAACTTGTTTATGAACTGCCCATATAAACCTGAGCTCAGCCAGGAGATGGCACAGAGAAGCTTGGCATATGCCCTTGGGCCGTTGTCCACTTAACCCATCACCCTGTATGTAAGTAACCCTATAATCAAATTTTTTGCTTTACCACACAGAATGGCCTATCTTGTTGTTTGGTCTTAAGATACCTTCCCAGTTAGGTGGACGTTCTGCCCTTGGTCCACTTTCAGACACTCTGATAGGGGCTCTTTACAAACTGATGTCTTATCCTGCTTAGTGCCTCAAACTAGATCCTGTTCTGACATGTTATAATAAGTTAATACGAGCTTATTTTGATATGAAAACTTTTTGCAATCTATGCATAGTTTTTCATGATATACATTTTCCACAAACTTTTTTGAAGACCCTTCATACGTAAAAATAATGGTTATGAAAATGATGACACACATGGAAAAATACTGATGAAGAAGTTAAAAGAAATAATCAGAATATATAAGTAGTGTATTAAAACAAAAAATTCACCAGAAGAAGCCTAAGAGAAAATAAAGTAAGTAGCTGTCTAGAAACAGACAAGATCAGAAGCGATTTATCTCTTTCTCTAGTTTCCAAATTTACAGTAGTTTTATTATTTTTTTAATTTGAAAAACATAAAAAAACTTTTGTAACTTACATTAGAATATTATATATACATTGCTGGAGAAGAAAAAATATATTTATGATGTTTTAGCATCCAGAACAAACAATAAAATCTTATACACACTCTACATACCTAAAAACTATTAACAATTTTTTTAGAATTCTACAAACAAAATTAATTACTTAAGTACGTTCTACGTATAATTTAGGTATCAGGACTCACATCTGTGTCAGTAATTCAGGATATAGCATGGCATTAACACTCAAATGAGAGGTGCCATATGAGGCTGATCTTATTATTAGAAGTATATCATACAAAAGTAGTCAAATTCATAGAAAGTAGGATGGGGATTCCCAGGGGCTGGAGGAAGGAGGGGAAGGAGAGTAGTTGTTTAATGGGTATAGAGTCAGATTTGCAAGATGAAAAGTCCTGAAGATCTGTTTCACAAAATTGTAAATATCCTTAATACTACTGAGCTGTTCACTTAAAAATTATTAAAATGGTATATTTTGTTATGTGTTTTTACCACAATAATAAAAAAAGTTTTCTTAAAAAAAATTTTTTTTAAAGTGTATCATACAGAAAAAGGACTACGTTAGAGTTGGCTTGGGTGAAAGAAGAGTAGCTAGAAAGTAACTGATGGGGAAAAAAAAGAAAAAAAAACCTGACAAAAGGGCACAGTAGAATTGAGGGAAAGGGTGGTGTAAAGGAACTGCTTGTTTTTTTTATTATGATTGTGATGGTAGTTACACATTGTATACATTTGTTAAAATTCATAGAACTGTACACTGAGAAGGGTAAATTTTACTGTATATAAATTATACCTTTGCAGGGGGTGGTGCTGGCTGGCCAGCATGGGGATCTGAACCCTTGACCTTAAGGTTATTAACACCACACTCTAATCAACTGAGCTAACCAGCCAGCCCTACTTAATTTCTAAAATGGGAAAAATAAAATGGAATTGAGTTCTATTCCTTAAGAGTATTTTCTGCCAAGAAGACAGCTCTCAGAACACATTGTCCAACTGGAAAACATCAACAACATATGATGATGATCCTCAGGGAGCCAAATCAAGAGAATAGATGAGAGGTCACGTTTATACCACTTTTTCACACAAGCTAATCTCTCCCCACTCCTTTCATGTTGTATTATTCTCCTATTCAAGTTCCTGTCATTAACCACATCACTCATTTTTTTCTTCCCCCCACCTCTCAGTTGATAATGTTGTTTGTTCAAATGTTTACATGTTATCACAACATGCTTCCTGCAGTAACTTAGTGACTGGGTCACAAAGTGAAAAGGAGGTAAGGAAGATGTGATAAAAATGGATTAAAAAACATTAGTGCACTAAAGTGACATTAACTCAAAGTGTCCCCAGAGCAGCAGCTAGAGAATCACCAGGGAGAGAACTTACTGGAAATGCAAACTCTTGGGCCCCAACCTCAGGCCTACTGAATTTTGATCTCTCGGTAGAGCCCAGGAATTGTTAAAATAAACAAGCTCTTCAGGTGACTCCTACATATACTAAAGCTTGAGAACCACAAGCCTATAGCAGTGCTTTGCCTATGAATTGCCAGGGAATGTGATTAAAATGCAGGTTCTAAAATGTGGCTCTAATGTTCAGGCAGGGTTGAGAACCTCGGTTCTAAGCCATCCTCCTGATTTTCCAGAGTGACCCTGATCCATGCTACATCAATGAAATCAGAACGTCTGACAGTGGAGCCCAGGCATCAGGATGTTTCAAAAGTTCTCCAGATGATACTAACGGTGCCTAGGGTTAAGAAACCACTGACAGGAACGCTTATTCTATCTTGTGGAATGAAATGTTTCCCGATTCTAGAATCACAATGAAGCCAATTGAGATCTTTAAATAAAAAAGAAACCACTAACAAAAATTGTAAGGCTCCTCTAGCTCTAAACACTACTTGTAGAAGTAAAACTTTAAAAAACTTTACTACATGTCTTCCTGCCTTTCAAAGTAAGATATCCTAGGCTGGCCCGTGGCTCATTCGGTAGAGTGTGGTGCTGATAACACCAAGGCCACAGGTTCGGATCCTATATAGGGATGGCCAGTTTGCTCACTGGCTGAGCGTGGTGTTGACAACACCAAGCCAAGGGTTGAGATCCCCTTACCAGTCATCTTTTAAAAAAAATAAAGTAAGATATCCTGAACATAAAGCAATTTTCGAAGAGGTTGTATGTGACAATGGCCAATAACAGTTAACATTCTGTGACACCTTTAAAGGCTACTAAGATTAATAAGGCTCTTTACTACTGAAATGCAGTTCCCACCTAGAGTTTTTGCATCTTGATGCCAAAGTATGTAGGTTTTTTTTTTCTCTGTAAGTTAGTTAACTTTTCTTCTCTTTTTGGACTCCCCCCCCCCCCTTTATTTTTTTTGTGCTATTTTATTCTTCCCCATGTAAAAGATTGCTCACAATTTCTAATTCTGCTGTTGCTACTTCTCACTCAGTCATTCAATTTATATTTACTAAGCAACTATTACATGCCAGGCATTGTTGTAGGCACTGAGGATAAGCAGTTAACAAACAAAAGTCTCTTACATTCTAGTAAGAGGTAAAATACAATAAACAGATAAATCAAGGGGTCATAAACACAATAAAGCAAAATAAAGCAGGGCAAAGGGCACAAACAGTGACGGAGGGTGTGTGTGCTATTCCTCATAAGTATGCTTATAGAGAAGAGCCAAGGATAGCCTCTCTAAGTGACATCTGAACAGACACCTAAAGGAAGTGAGGGGGCAAGCCACATGGACATCTAGAGGAAGAGTGCTCCATGCTAGGTGAAGAGCAAGTGCAAAGCCCTGGGGCTTTTGCTTCATCTCTTCAAAGAAGAGCAAAGAGACTGGTGTAGTTGGAGTGGAGTCAGTTAGAGAACAGTGGTAGGAAATGAGGTCAGGAGGTTCGCAGGGGCTTGTAGAGCTATATAAAGACTGGATTTTACCAAATGAGAGAGGAGGCCACTGGAGAATTTTGAGCAGATGAGTGGCAAAATAATGTACTCGCATTTTTAAAAAATCACTTTGGCTGCTTGGTGGAGAACAGACTGTACATTTTCTTATTTCCTAATTGTTGCAGCGTATGCATTAGCAACAACAAAGCTTATGATAAAACTTAAGTATCAGCGTACAAATGCTCAAACACGGTTATTTTACTATAAACTTAATAGAGATCAAAGCATCAAGGTATATCCTACCTGGATCTCAGATATCTGTGGAAGGCAAGATTTTGGTCTTAATGGCAACAGGGTTGCCATTTGTGGAAAAGGGTCAATATCCTTCCTTGGTATCTCTTGGCGGAGGTGCCAGAATTTCAGTTCAGCACTAGCATATTTTGTTGAGGCTGAATGAGTAACACAGAATCTTGGAGCCCTGTTTATCGGAAAAATAAATTTAAGATTAAACTAGACAGTAAGCCTCAAAAATCAAAAGCCTACAAAATATATAATACCTGCACTCACAATTATCAGTCTTGCTATACCCCTTTTCTAATAATTTCTACTTCTTTACTGCTGCCTTGCCTTCAAAACTATTTTTCTATGATATGTCAACTGCCTGCAATCCCATTCACTCACATAAAAAGGCAATATACATTAGGGAAAAAAACTGTTTAAATTATAATCTGCTTAGGGCTGGCCCATGGCTCACTTGGTAGAGTGTGGTGCTGGTAACACCAAGGCCACGGGTTTGGATCCCTATATAGGGATGGCCGGTTAACTCACTTGGGAGAGTGTGGTGCTGAGAACACCAAGTCAAGGGTTAAGATCCCCTTACCGGTCATCTTTAAAAAAAAAAATTATAATCTGCTTAGTAAGGAAACGAAACCTATCTATCTATTGATGATTAAGTTTTTAAATACTTATATCTTCTAGTAAAATGAACATAAAATGTACCTGTGATAATTTAAAAACAGTTTAGTATTTATCTCTAGTATCAAATAAAAATTGGTAGAATGGGCTGGTCTGTGGCTCACTCGGGAGAGTGCGGTGCTGATAACACCAAGGCCCCGGGTTCAGATTCCATATAGGGATGGCCGGTTTGCTCACTGGGTGAGCGTGGTGCTGACAACACCAAGTTAAGGGTTAAGATCCCCTTACCGGTCATCTTTAAAAAAAAAAGAAAGAAAGAAAGAAAAAAAAAATTGGTAGAATGAAATTAACATTTAAAAATATATAAACATTTTTATAATGCATAAGTATGCTACTAAAGTGGGTAATGATTCATATTATTTATTTTCAAGCCTTTAATTTGAAGGTAAGAATTTTACAACAGTTTACATAAATAAAAGACCAACACTACTGCCAGAAACTTAGGAAAAAGAATTTCTGGCACAATATCAAGGCCACACTTAATTGGATGGATATCCTGGTATTCTGTCTGTGGGATAACTGTTTATTGGATATAGGGCTAACTCCAGCTGTCAGGGCCTGCTGTTAATTGCTTCTTTCTTGGACCAGGTTTTCTCCCTAATGCAGCAGTCCAAAGACTAATTCCTATTCCATACTTCAGGGCCTGGTAGAAAATTGCTTCCCTTTAAATAGGAAGAAGGTAGATATCTTCTTGATGTGAACACACATTGGGAGTGGAAGAGAATTCAAATTCCACAGTTAGTTTAGGATGAGAAAGTATTCTGTATAGATCTATGTTGTCATTCTATGCTATATTTCAGAATCTATACTTGGAGACTTGGGAATATCCAAAATTACTTCTTATTTGCATGTCAACTAGTAAGTGTGAAATTGCTAAAACTTTTATCAAATAAATCATACATGGGATGACCAGGAAATCTAGGTGCCTCAATTTCTTGATTCACATCATTAGGACATATTCATATGACTCTAAAAGTCCCTACTGCCCTTACCATTTTAATTTTACACTGTTATTTCATTCATATAGCATTAATCTTTGATTAGCCACTATGTGAATTCATCAAATATTATTGAATATTGCATGGTGATTCCTAAATTGATACTGTATTATTTTATTCTTTTTTTTTTTTTGGCGGCTGGCAGGTTCAGGGATCTGCACCCCTGACCTTGGTGTTACAACACTGTGCTGTAACCAACTGAGCTAACTGGCCAGCCCTGGTATTGTATTATTTTTGATGCTACTACTGTACAAGGTTTCATGCACACTGATTATACACATCTTAATTCTCAAGCTCTAGTGACTGGAAGAAAATATTTGCCATATAACCATCAAGGACCTATATTCGATGTGTGTGTGTGTCCAACGTAATAAGCAAAAACTGGAAAAACCCTAATGTCCTTCAATGGGTAAATGGATATAGTATGTCCATACAACGAAATACTACTCAGTAATAAAAAGGAACAAACTGTTGATATACACAAATTGGATGGATCTCAAGGGAATTATGTGGAATTAAAAAAGCTAATGCCAGAAGATTACATATTGTATCATTTCATTTATTAGTGGTTTTCAGGAGTTAGGGAGAGGGGACAATGGAGGAGAGAGGGAGGTGGGTATGGTTATAAGAGGGCAGTACAAGGGCTGCTTATGGTAACTGTTCTTGATCGTAGTGGCAAATGCATGAATCTATAAAGTGGTAAAATAACATAGAACTAAATACACACACAAATGAGTGCACGTAAAACTACTGAAATATGAACAAGATCGGTAAATTGTATGAATGTCAATTTCCTCATTGTGATATTGTGCTATAGTTATGCAAGATATTACCTACTGGGGGAAACTGGATGAAAGGTACACAGTATTTCTTTGTATTATTTCTTACAACTGCCTATGAATCTACAATTATCACAAACAAAAAGTTTAAAAAAACTGAAAAGCTTCTACTATATTTGTAATGTTTTATTGAACTTAGTGTTTTATTACATTGGGTGGTACGTACATAGGTACCTACTATAGTAAAATTCATACTTTCTGTTGTCTTACATATTAAGAATAAGTTTTGTTAAAGAAAGAAATAAATAATAGCACTCTCTCTCTATATATATAAATGCACAAAGCATATAAGTGATCTTGAATACCTAGACGGGAGATGATGCCAGAGAGAGGTGGGCAAGAAACAAATCATAATGACCTTATCTGCTAGTTTAAGAAATCTGAACTTTACATTGAAAGCTTTGGGGCAACCAGTGAAAGATTTAAAGCAGAGAAGTGACACAGTCAGATCCATCACAGTCACAATGGACAACTCACTGATCCTCAAATGGCACACATTTTCTCCACTATGTCCATTCTCTTTTTCCTTGCTTCATGTCCATGAGTCCTGGGTGAAATACCACCTCTTCTCTGTAACCTGTGCATTTACCATACTTTCTTTTATTATACTAATTTCACAAGTATGTTTCTCCCAGTAGACCATGACCACTAGGCTTGACCATGTTTTTAACACTGTATCCTTAGCACAGCACTTGACTCAAAATATGCTTATTAGATGATAAATCTGTAACTCCAACTACATGTACACACACACACACACACACACACACCAATTTTATGGGATACCGATCATTAAAAGGTCAGGTATAGGGGCCGGCCCGGTGGCGCACTGGATAAGTGCGCCGCTTGGGAAGCGCGGCAGCGCTCCCGCCCGAGGGTTCGGATCCCACATGCAGACCGGTTCCCGCTCACTGGCTGAGCGAGGCGCGGGAGCAACGCCGAGGGTTGCAATCCCGTTGCCGGACACGGAAAAAGACAAAAAGACAAAAAAAAAAAAAAAAAAAAAAAAAAAA